TGTGATGTGATGATGATGATAGAACAGGCATTGGATTAAAATTTAAACCATAAGAAGTAATTAAAATTAAAATAAATCTCATACTCTCAACTTCCAGTTTTGTTCTATCAGTTTTTCTTTATATATTATTAGGTGCATGCACATTTATGATTATTATATCTTCATAATGTACTGTCTCTTTTTATCATTATGAAACATCCTCTTTTCCGGTCATACTCTTTGCCTTGAATACTATTTTACTGATATTTTTATCGCCACTCTAGCCTTCTTATGCTTAAGGTTTACATGATATACCTTTTCTCATCTACTGAGGAGACAGCATATAATTGGGCCTTGCATTTTTTTAAATCCTCACCCAAGGACATGCTTATTGATTTTAGAGAGCAGGGAAGAGAGAGAGAGAACATCGACGTGAGAAAGAAACATCAATCAGTTGCCTTCCTGTAGGTGCCCTGACCAGGGATCAAACCCGAAACCTAGATATGTGCCTGACTGGGAATCGAACCCACAACCTTTCAGTGTATGGGACGATGTTCCAACCAACTGAGCCACACCGGCCAGGGCTGGGCCTTGCATTTTTATCCATTCTGTCAACCTCTTCCTCCAATTAGAATATGAGTCCTTTTCATTTAATATAATTATTTATATAGTTAGATTTAAGCCTATAATATTACTACAGTGGGGCCTTGACTTACGAGTGTCTCGACTAACGATTTTTTTGAGATACCAGCTGTCTCTCGGCTGATTTTTTGCATTGAGTTGATAGAGTAATTTGAGTTAATGAGCTCCTTAACGAGCTCGGTCTCAGAACGAATTAAACTCGTAAGTCAAGGCCCCACTGTACTTGTTTTTCCTTGCTGTTATTTTTTCTGCTTCTCTTCCTTCCTTTTAATTAACTGAATGTTTTATGATTCAATTTAATTTTTCTATTGGCTTTGTAGCTATCTCTTTGCTTTATATTTTATTGCCCCAGGGTTACAATATACATCCATAACTTTTCATACTGCTAAGAGTTTGTATTGCAACACTTCACATAAATTGTAGAAAGCTCGCAACTACATAAGTTCATTTATATTGCTTGGGCTCCTGTCTCCTTTCTTGGATTCCCCTCCCCACTTTCCCGTGACTGTGGTTGCCCTGAGCTGTGTCCTCTGGTTCATCAAGCCAATAGTATTGCAGATTTTTCTGCCAGAATTTTAGCTGCCCTACATGCACAGACTGGGGCCTGCCTTCGGGCTAAATGCTACTTCAGAAGAAAGAAATTTACTCTGCGATGTCCTTTTCTTCCAAATGTCAACTTCCCACCAGTATCTGCCTGCTTGTTTTTCATTCTACAGTATCTCCAGGTAGCTGATTTTAAGATTTTTGTCTAGAGTTTATGGTTGGATTTATTATTAGATATTTATGGATTTATTCTAAAGAAGTCTATGGCCAGAAAGAAAATAGCTAGGATTCCTTGATCCTGTTGTTAATGGGGTTTTTATTTTTATTCCATACAATAAGGAATTTTCTAACTCCCCACATTAGTCTTACTTTGTTTCCTTACTGGGAGAACTAATCCTCAACATTTACCCAAGTGCTATTCATGGGTTGTTCTATTTAATCCTCACAACTCCTCTGTGGGGAAGATGGCCTTATTATCCCCGTTTTACAGATGAGAAAACTGAGCACGAGAGGTGAAGCTACATATCAAAGTCACTGTGCATGAATGGTATTCAATGGGTAGCTCACTCCACAGCCTGTTTTCTTTCTTAATCTGGCTAGGAGACCTGGCTTGCAAAGAAGGCAAGGAATCAGGACCAAGGCCGTAGCTGCAGAGAGAAGATGGAAGGAGTCATCTCTGACTTTTATCTTGGCCTAGTTCTCATTAGTCATCCAAGTCAAAGGCCTATCCCAGGTAGGCATAACCGACAAAATCCACTCTAACTACAGAGAATTAAGTTGAAGAAGAGCTCACGAGGATGTTAGGAAGTTGGGAGGACCAGAGGATCCACGTGGAGGCTATGTGGCTGCTTACAATGCTCACAGCACCCCAGACACTGACCTGCCCTTCGCCTCTCTCGCTCATGCCCTGATGGCTCTCACCAGTGTGTGTGTCAGATCCTCGTCTCTCACTCATGCCTCATCCCAGCTGTGAGGGAGGCTGTGAGAGAGCATTTCTGGTGGGACATCCCTGGACGGTGGAAGGGTGTTCAAATGGTGCCGGGCAACCAAAGACTTCAATCGATGTGCACATTCCATGTCAATGAACCACTGGGCAGATCCCGTGTGACCTGCTTTTCTCATAATAATCTCTCCCAGCCAGAGGCCAGGACAACCCCTTCCTCTGCTGCCTGACTTCAAGTTTCCCCCGTTCAGAGAAAGCCAAGCTCTGTAAGCAGACAGTTTTATAGGAGCATGACTCATGCTGGTTTTCGTTTAACTGTTATTGCACCTTGGCGATGATTAGATGACTGCATGTGGAATGTAAGCTAGATTTTCTGATCAATTATAATAAAAATTGGATTCTAAAGATATGCTTGTTGAAACTCTCAGTTTGTTCAGCATCACCTCCAACTGCTGGCCAAGTAGACAAGGGTTTTATAACAGCGCTTCCCTAGTTCCCAGGACTCTGCACTGGGATCTGGGCCGTGGGGGGTTATCTAGCCAAAAGGGAGTGTCTGGCAGCTTAGTGGGTTATGTGCTTTCCAAGTGACCTTTGGAATTTTGACTGAAAATGGTAGAGACGGAACCAATTGGAGGGATGTGAAGGGGATAACCCTGCCCTGCCCGAAGTCCCTGAACTGCTAGATCAATATGGACAGGAAACTCAATTCCATATTTGAGGGAAATGGGCTCATGTTGTATAAGAGTTTTACAGGAACTGACTGGCTTACAAATTTTATTGGAGATAACAATGAAAAAAACAGTGTTGTTTGGGTTTTTATGATTATTTAATTCTGTTCAATTATATAAAAACTAAACTCCCTTCTCATTATCCTAAGGCTAGTGTTTTCAGGGTACATTTAGCAATCATATGTTTTGGAATTTTTTGAGCAATCCCCAATTCCTTATTTAATTATTGTTTAATCCTTTTAATATATCTTAATGTATAATTTAAAATTTTATAAAAATTGTATTTATTGATTGATTTTAGAGAGAGAGGAAGTGAGAGAAAGAAACATCGATTTGTTGTTCCACTCATTCATGCAGCCATTGGTTGATTCCTGCATGTGCCCTGACTGGGGATCGAATCTGCAACCTTGCCGTATCAGGATGACACTCCAACCAACTGAGCTACCCAGCCAGGGCTATAATAAAATTTTCTGACCCATTTGCAAGTCCTCTAGTTTCCCTGTTTATGTGTCCCTCTGAGATGTTCTAGGCAGAGATAAGCATGTAGGTAGAGCCTCCCCCTTATTACAAAAATGGAAAAGTACTCTGCACTGTGTGTGTGTGTGTGTGTGTGTGTGTGTGTATCGGAGCTCTTTTCATATGTGTTCACACAGATTTTCCCCCTCCTGTTTAACAGAAACACAAAGGATTATTAACCAACTATCTCATGGTTATTTAACCTGTCTTCTATTAATAGACAGACATTCCATCGTTTCCAGTCTTCTGCAATTATAAACAATGTTCTGGTCAATATCCCTGTATGGACCCCTCTATGTATATATGAGAGCTTCTGGGATTAAATTTCTATAAATGGAATTTCTGGTGAAAGGCAAATCCACCTTTAAATTAGACAGGTATTGCTAAAGTGCCCTCCAAAGAGGATGCTTCAGTATACCCTACCTGTTTGCTGTACCTATTTATCAGGACGGCACATTACCAAAGGTTTTCATCTTGACCTGTCAGACTAGTTTAGTTTTAATTTGTATATCTTTTATTCAGAGTCTTAGCACTTTTAAACATGTTTAAAATCATTTGCATTAACTATTGGTTAAAATAAATTGTGTACACCCACTTTCTTTTGAATTATGATTCTTTTTCACATTGATTTGTAGTTCTTTATATATAAATAAATGAGCTTTTCTCATTTAAAATAAAGATGACTTGTTATCTGTAGAACAGAATGTGATTTAGTGTCTATTACTAGGTATGGTTCCCATATGAGCAAATTCAAATTCACAAATCAGAAAACTATTCATTCTTAGACCATGTTTCCAGATTTTTTAATTTAAAAAATATGGCCATTAAAAAGTATTTTGAAGTTATTTACAAAGCTATGGAATCTATTGTATCATTATATATTTGTAGAGTACATTAAGGTGACTTTAAAGCATTTTATAGTTTATAAAACTATAAACATTATAAATCTATAAATTTAATGTGATTTAAAATATTTTTATAGTTTATAAAGCTATAAAAGTAATAAACACATACTTGTCTGTTTAAAAAGTCCAATATACGCCCTAGCCGGGTGCTCAATTGGTTGGAGCCTTGTCCCGTACACCAAAGGGTTATGGGTTCAATTCCAGGTCAGGGCACATACCTAGGTTTGGGGTTTGATCCCCAGTCAAGGCACATGCAGGAGGCAGCTGATAGATGTTTCTCTCTCCCTTCCTCTCTCTCTTAAAATCAATAAAAACATATCCTCGGGTGAGGATTAAAAAGCAAAGTATACGTAAGTGTATACATTTAAAGTGCAAGTTTTCTGCCTTCCTACCAGGGCAGCACCATTGTTCACAGTTCGGTGTGTATTCCTCCTAACTTTTTTCTATACACCCATAATATATATTTTAAAAATCCGTTCTCAAAAAGTGGGAGCTGCATGTTGTTCTGCAAGTTGCCTTTTTTTCCATTAAGGCTTTATCCTGGAAGTCAAGAATGGTACATTAGCAATTCTGTTTGTTAACTCCATAAGCTGACAGTCTATTAGCACAGACCATAGCGGGACCTGATATTAGTTTCCTTTGGGAGGAATTGAACAGGCTGGAACGGATAAGGAGTCTGGAAACAGGCAGCCAGCTGTGGGCAGCTTGTTTCTCCTGTAGCTCCAGTGTCTGCACTCAGGGGATGTTTTACACACAGTGTGGTGGGCATGAGACCGGGGAGCAGTACAATCACAAGGAAAGAGGGCTAGAACTGAGCCCTCTATGAGCCAGCACCCAAAGACTCTTGCTTTGATTTGCAATTTGGTTTCTTGCCTTCTTTAAGTTTTATTTGTTTGATGTTTTTTAAGATGCACCTTGAGGCATAAATCCTTGGAATCAGCAAAGAGAAGGAATGGGATCCAAATGGTTGGTGCACAAAAGTGGGCCAGGAGCCCGGCCCCACCTCCTGAGCAGTAGGGTTGTGAGGTCTACATGCTGGGGCGGCCACTGCCTCCCACGTGAGCCTGCAGGAGGCAGGCCTGTCCTCCCAGGTGGATCTGATGCCTCATGTCCAAGGACTAAGTCTTGCTCTCCTGGGCACCCTCCCAGCAGTGCCCTACAGATAGGGATGCTCTGGAGCCAAAGTGGGAGGAGAGGGGGTTCCAGGGCTGTCTTGTCTGGCTGAGAAGTTGTCGCTACACAAATGAGCCCCCTCCTGACAAAGGCACTTTCTGCTCAGCCAAGCCCCAGGGGTCTGCATCTGCCTGAGGGGCTTCTTTCCAGTTAGCCAGGAGGCACTGTGTAGACCCTCCAGGCCCTGGCAGTATTGCCACGCATGTCTTCAGAGGCTCCTGATACCCAGGGGGTTGGGTGTTCCCCAGCATCCTTTGGGGCCACCCTTGAGCACCCCTCCTAGGCTTGGGAAGAAGCTGAGTTCTGGGAGGATGGCCGGGTAAGGGTTTTCTTGAATAGAATCCATTCCTGTCCAGTCAACAAATATTTGAGGCTCTACCATATGCCAAGGCCTGTTCTAGCTCTGGAAATAGGCGGAACAGGACAGACAAGGTCCTGTCTGTGGAGCTGGCATTCTGGTGTGGGAAACAGACAGGGAACAAGTTAAAGAAGTAAACAAGACCATTTTCCAGAGAATGCTATGAGGAAAATAAAACACACAATGGCCTAAGGAGTGGGGGAGGGGTGGCTAGTGTGCAATTCATACCTGAGAGGAACCTCTTCAAGAAGGGGAGACTCAAATGACAGGAAGAAGGAGTCATGCCAACATTTCGGAAGAACATTCCAGGGAGCCAGCACAGCAAACTGAAGCACCCTGAGGCTGGGAGACACTAGGCTCTGCAAAGAGCATAGTTGGGAGCCAAGAAGAGTCTGAGGAGTAAGAAGAGGTGAGGGCCAAATCATGCAGGCCTTGTGGCCAGGTTGAGACATCACCCGTCTTCTTCCACATGCAGTGGGAGGTCACAGGAAGTTGAAGTAGGTGAGTGACATGATCCCAGCACATGTTCAACGGGTAACTCAGGCTGCTTTGTGGAGATGCTTGGGTTGGGGGAGGGGGGAGGCAAGGAGGACTGCAGGGACACTGGTTAGAGGCTGCTGCAGTGGTCCAGGCGAGAGACCATGGTGGCTGGAACTAGGATATCTGTGGAGAGATGGAGAGAAGGGATGAATTGGGGGTATAGGTTTGAAATTATTGCTGACACTTCCTCCAAAAGAAGCAGGGCCATGGGCCCCCAGACAAGGCCGGAAGCAGTGGTGTCACTGTTCTCCTGCTTGCACTGAATGAGAGCTGGCCCTGCCAGGGCACTGAGACCCTGCCCAGCAGACCCTCATACCACCCTTAGACTCAGGGACCCCCACAGTAGAGGACCCCCTTCATGCCTTCCTCTGGCCCTTCCCTTCCCTTGAAGTGAGGAGCTTATAAGGCCAAGGAACTTCCTGTTCAAACAGCCCCGAGGCAGCTGCCTGGGCCTACATGGGCCATGTTACCAGGCACTTGGCAGTGTGCACACCCCTGGCCCAAGAGGAGATGGGAGGGGGGCAGTTTCCAGTATGGGCAGTATTGGAGCCGTGTGCTGGGAATCCACACCCACCTGACTAAGGAACCTTCTGGTGGGGGTAGCCCCAGGGGTGGATCACAGTGCTCCCCTGCTAAAAGCTGCTTGGCGGAAGCCTGTGAGGTAGGTTCTCCCCTCACCTGGAGTGGCCTTGGCCAGAGACCCAGCTCCATCTTCGGATACAGCCTTATCTAGGCCCCTCCCTGGCAATCCCTGCACTCCAGCCGGGCAAACATCTTGTCCTTTGTTACCAGAACATGCCATGCACTCATAGCCTCTCCACCTTTGCACCTGCCATTCTGTCCACCTATCCTTCTAGCTAATTCCTGTTCATCCTTCAAAGTGCAGCTCAAAGGTCCACTGCTCCATGAAGCCCTCTCTGGCCTCCTTAGTCAGCTCCGGCTGCCATGACAAAGTGCCACACATTGGGTGGCTTAAATAACAGAAATTAATTTCCTCACAGTTCTGGAGGCTGGAAGTAGGAGGTAAATGTGCCAGGATGGTTGGTTTTCGGTGAGGGCTCTGTTCTCTGACCTGCAGACACCGCCTTCTCCCTGTGTCCTCACACGGGTGCCAGTGCATGTGCCCTTGGGGCAGGGCGGGGGGGGGGGGGGCTCTCCCTCTCTTCTCCTTGCAAAGCCACCAATCCTATCCGATTAGGACACCACCCTTATGACCCCATTTAACCTTAATCACCTCGTTAAAAAATACTATCTCTGGATACAATCACATTGGGGGTTAGGACTTCAACATATGAATGTGGAGGGGGACACACAATTTAGCCCATAGCACCTCCCCAAACAAAATCTGTTGATACCTCCTCCAGAGCCCCGCATTCACCAGGGCAGGGTGTCCCATTATCAATCACATGGTACATCAATCCTTCATCCCCATGTGTGTCTCCTAACAGACCTTTGATGAATTAATGGATGACATCCCTCTGCCCAGGCCCATTCCCTGCTCTTTCGGTGACACCTCCTCTGTGAGGAGGCCCTTCTCCCAGCAGACTGTGTGATGGCCTGTCTGTCTCCCCAACCCCAAGAGGGCAGAGGCCACTTCTCACTCATCTCTGGGCACTAAGCACCTTGCACAGAGCTGGCCTTGTGGGAGAATTCTGGTTCTGCTGTGGAAGGACCTGGGACCCTGGGTGTGGGCCCCTTGGGTGCCTCTCTCACCCCCACACACCCTATTAATAAAGCCTGATTCCACTGCTCCCCCAGCCCTGGGAGCCTCTGGCCCTGGCAGGAAACCAGGTGTAGACGCTGTGAACAGGATACTTCCTGGAGCCTTTTCCTTGCTTCTCCCCTGGGACTGCCATCACTCATGGCAATTCGGAAAAACTGAAAATCCCACTCCAAGTTTCCCTGCAGGCTCCACAGGTGCTGGTGTGTAAATGGGTCCTGCATCTGGCCAAGAGAGCAGCTCCTCGGCTCACACAGGTTATTTATTTAATGTATCTAGTTTTACTCCCTGTCCAAAAATATCAAGCTAAAAATATTTTGTGTCTGAGGTCTGGACTAAAAAAAATGAAGCAGTTGGGTCATTAATCATTGAAAATATGTTGAATAGGAACTTGATTAAAGCACAAATTGCTTCTTTACTGTGACCACAGTGGAAACCAGGCCGTGTTTTTGGCGCTGGCCTTGAGGGCTCCTGGGAGGGTTGTGGCTCCTTGCCAAGCCCTGGAAGGCCGCTGTCTGGGAGGGGGTCTTCAAAGCCCAGTGGGGCACTTCTCAGGCAGGCCCACCTCCAACCAACACCCAGGCAGCATCAGACCTGAGAGCACTAAGTCGAAAGGGCGGAGGGAGAGGGGTAGTGGCAGGAGCGACTTTCGGCCCCATGAGGCCCCCTGCGAGCCCTCCTGTCCCCACGATCCCCACATAGAATGCGCGAGGCTCCACGTGGCTGGGGAGGCGCGCGGCCATAAACCCCTTCAGCCGGCAGCAGTGAGTGCGGAGGCGGCGCAGCGCCCAGAGGGCAGCAGCCCTGGCCGCCTGGCTCCCCAGGATCTCGGGGAACTCCGCCCTGCAAACCACCCAGCAAGGTTCTCCCTGGGCGCTCCCTCGACACCTCTGCGCCCGCCTTGGAGCCCACCTGAACAGGGATTAGGGGAGAGGCCAACGGATTCCAGCCCGTTGACAGCCAGCCCTCTTCGGGATCCCCGTTCCGGAGGCAAGTTCTCCTCCCCCTTCAGAGCGCTCCCCTCGTCCCGGTACCCCAGCCCCGGAATCCAGCTCCGCCCGTCGCACAGGGAAAAATTGGCCGCCCCGCGCGGGGTAGCCGTGCCAGCCCCGCGCGCTTAGCAACCCTAGCGCTCCGGCTAGAAGAAATAATTAAAAAGAAAAAGTTTTCCAGCCCAGGCGGTCAGACCGGACAAGTCCACCAGGCTCCCTGGCCGCGGCCGCCTCCCCTTCCCTCTGCTCCCCGCGGGGTCCTAGTGCCCGGCGCCGCGGAGCCCGTGACACCCCGAAGTACTGCCAGAGGCAGAGCAGGGAGAGGTGCTACACGGAATCGGTGGGTGACCAGAGATAAAGACGCTCAATCACCGCGCTCCGGGCCTCTCCACACGGTGGTGTGCCCTGGGCCGTATCTTCAAAACTGTTCTCTGCCTCCCACCCCCACCCCGGCTCCTTCTCCACGTCGCCGCCTTCCAGAAACCCCGATCCCGGACAAGACTGGCTCTAGCTTTTAAAGCGAGCAGGCGCCACAGTAGCTCGGAGACCAAGACTGCACTCCACCAACCCCCTGCGCGGCGGCCGGGTGCTGCTGGAATGCCGGCCTTTGGCTGGAAGTGGGTGTCTTGGGGAGGCTAAAGAAGGGGGGCCCGCCACCGACCACGTGTGCGTGGGGGCGACAACTCGGCCGAGGATGGGGCACCGCGTGCGGGTCACGGCTCTGCTCGCGGCTCAGGGGCCAGTGGGCGTTGCGGCCCGGCCTCTCCCGCCAGCGCAGCGCTCCAGCCCCACTTACCGGCTCCTCCTGAAGGCAGGCCCTAAGACCCAGGAGGCGCCACTCGTCGTCGCCGATAGTCGGACACTAGAGGGCGACAGCTGCTCCGATATAAATGCGG